ACTGCTTTCAGGTAGGGTGCCAGGCCCAAGAGCCTCCTTGGTGGGTCCCACGATGTGGCATGCTGTGTCTTCCTCTACCCCCGTTTGCTGTGGGGGCAGGACCTTGTCCCCGTTGTGCTGCCATGCCTGGGAGTGCTGCTCCACTCTTCACCCTCTGAGCGATGGAGGGTGTTAGGCCGGGCTCTACACGGCTCTCGCTGCTGCTGAGGAGGACGGTATGCAGAAGAGGAGTTGAGGCATCGCCACCTTGCATTTTGCAGCCCAGGGAGGCAAGGGGACAACACACACGTGGACGCTGTCTGCACGTACCGCAACGACTCCTCCCCCGCGCCGTTGGACAGGGTGGGTCTTTACCACGAAGTGAGCAAGAAGACCCAAGGTATCACGCAGCTGGGGCCCTACAGCCTGGACAAGGACAGCCTCTATGTCAATGGTAATTTTTTTTTCATCGTTTAAGTTATTTATTTTTCCTCTCCTTTTTTTTTATTTTAAATATGCTATTTAAGCTAGATTTTTCTGCTCCTCTTAGTTGTAATCTTTTTTATTTATTTATTTTAGGTGAATTTTAAATATTCATGTTGGAATGCTTAGATTTTTCTTCATATTTGTAATGTTTCTTGTTCTGGAACTTTTTACTCATTTACTATGTAGACTATGTGTCTTCAACATAACAGTTCCCTTTCCTATAATAAATAATAACTGCTCAGAAGTAGGAAATCTTTGTCGTTCCATGGAATCTTTCATCTGTACAATTATTTTTGAATTAGGGTCCTAATCCCTATTTCTTTTTTTTTTTTCAGATTACCATGAAGGCATTGTCATGCCCTGTAAGTACTTTAAGTGATTAAACTGCATCAGGTCTTAATGGCTCTGTACAGGATCTGCAGAGATCAATGCCTGATGTAGCTCTTTATTGTTAAACAGGGAGAATAATCATCTTCCAAGTACAGTTTGTAACTTAATACTCTTCATTCAAATGTTTCACAAAGCATTATTTCTTCCTGGAAAACAGATCTTATTTTAATCAGAACTTCTCCAGAGGAGTAACTGAATTACATCCTATGCCCTTTATTACAGAGGACTTTAGAGACAACGTTATGAGGAGACCTGTTTGGAGATATAGATAGCTACACACATAGAAGGCTAGAGAGTAACTGGTGTTTACAAGCTGTTCCAAAAGCAGCTTTGCAAAAAGAAAAGGTCAGAGGTTCAAGGACCTACATGCAGTATAAAGCTAGTGGGCTCATAGGTTTTTTACTGAATAAGTTAAAAGGTGAGATGGAGTTAACTTCAATTCTGTAACAGAAATTGTCAGATAGCTGTTTAGAGCCTGCTCAGCTAGGACTGACTTTCTGTAGGAATCTAGGTGAGCTAGAGAACCCTCATCTGCTCTATAGCTACATGTTCCACACAACTGCTGGTATCATCATTCCCATTTCATACTGTGTTCATTGTAGTACCTATCTCTTCCAGTAGAAAGAAACTGTTGAATCTGTAAAGGACAGGGATTAAAAAAAGTGTTTGCTTTCTACTCAAAACAAAATTTTGTGCCTTTTTTTTTTCCCAGCGATGTCTCCAGCTCCTCCTTTTGCAAGGATAAAACATTTCACAGTGAACTTCACAATAACCAATCTCCCTTACAGACCAGCCCTAGGAGACCCAAATTCTAAAAATTTCATTGCTACAAAAACCACTCTGACATATCTGGTGAGCATCAGTAGGGTTCTTCCTGTGGCTGTTTAGCTCATTTCTTTTTAATATATTTTCACTGAATTTTGTTTTGTTTTGTTTTGGTTAGCTTGACCATGTGGTGAAGAACAGCAGCATTAGCCCTGCTTATATTGGTTGCACAGTGCTGACACTAAGGTATGGGATATGTCCTTGAAATAGTTTTCTTACAGAAGACAATGGGAATACAAATTTTGACAGACAATAGGATTATACAGAGATCTTTGTATAGGATCATACAGAGAGCATGTAATTACTTTCTGCTTCCCCTTCTTCCTAAACTGATAGATCCTGTTAAGTTCTTCAGAGTTCATGGAAAAATGATGGGGCAGAGCGTTAACACATAAGTTCTTTTGCACTAGATAAAAAGACTAGCATGACTAACTTTATATCCTGTCCAGCTAGAGCATAAGAACACTGTTCTGATTGTATAAAACAACGAATACTACCTTTCTAAATTTGAGGGCATTATTTCAACAAATAGTGTTTTTTTAAATAATATTTTAACAAGAAATTCAATTCCACACTAGCTATTGTGTAAGCAAATTCAAATAAACACATGCAAGGCATTGAGGCTGTAAGTAAACATGTTACTTTTTAGATCTTTGAAGAACAGAGAGGACACTGGTGTGGATGCGGTCTGCACATACAGAACCAACACTGCCACTACTAAATTTGATCGAGTCATGGTTTATCGTGAGCTCAGCAACATGACAGCCAGTTGCACCAAACTAGGACCCTACAACCTGGATGCAGCCAGCTTCTATGTTAATGGTAAGGGGGTCCTCCGACTGCTAATTTGGTAGTAGCTGGATGGAGAAACTGAATAAACACATAACCACAGAAATAGTAGTACTTGCATGAAGGGTGAAAGTAAACACCATCCTGGAGGATCTACTGTCAACAATAGTTTTCATTCCTTGTTTTTCTTTTGAACTGAATAACTAGGCCAAATACAGTATATCATGTGTCATATAATAATATAGTATATATAGCTCTCCAGAAAAGATCAGGCTTACCCTCCCAAGGTAAAATGTATTCCTTTGGAGAGGAACAGCACTAGAACTTGATAATAGTTGACAAAAGGCCTACTGACAACAGGCCTACTGACAAATTGACAACATAGTGCTTAGATTGGATTTAGGCTATGGGAAGTTTCCTTTTGGCTCCTGTAAGTAAAGGAGGATTCTGTGTACAGCAATTTGACAACAACACTGCAAGTGTTCAATATGCATTCCTGCCTAGACAGTCATCAAATCAGTCATCTTCTCCAGTAACTGTTTATACAAAGTATTTCAGGCAAAAGAGATTCAAATTACAAATTTCACTCTGCACTTAGGAATTCTAAGTCAGTTTCTCAGATACTGTACCTTTTTTTTCTCCTCTTAGGTTATAATGAACAACAGCATGGACAATGTAAGTACCTTTAAATACCACTTGAAAGGACAAGAGGGTTTTGTTAGTTAGCAATAGCTTAAAACAAAAGTTGGGTTAAATGTCTAACAGTATCACAATGCCCATAATACAGTGTTATAACAATTCAAGAGTCCTGCTAGGGTACCACAACTGCTATCACAGAATCACAGATGCAGAGGTCAACTATGATCCAGAGGTCAACTAGAATACCAGAGAATTTTTCCTTTAGTTTTTCTTCTAGGGCTGATGTTCATAATATTTTTTCAAACAGTAACTTACCTCTATCATTGCAGCTGTTAATCCAAGTAAACAACTTCTGTCACCATCAATAAGCAACTTTACACTGAACTTCACTATAACCAATCTCCAGTTCACCACAGGCTTGATGATGCCAAATTCCAAAAAGTTCAAGTCAACAGAAAAAGTCATGCGCTATTATGTAAGTCTGGAAGGATCATGCCCCGCCTGAGCACAGTTCCTTTACATCTCTGAGCTCTCCCTTGTTGTAACACTTTGCTTATATATTTTTGTAAATTTCTAGGCTGACCATCTATTCCAGAAAAGCAGCATTGGCCCTACTTATGTTGGTTGCAATAGGATGTCATTCAGGTCAGTCATGCCTAGAAAAAGTTTGGGTTACTGACTTCTTTGAAAGATTCTATACAATAATAATAGTTAACACATGAATGCAATGACATTCTTTGATGCACTTCTGGTCATATATTGAAAGTTAAGGCAGACTTCTTAATAGCTGGCTAAAATAAATTGAAACAATGGCCCATTTCCTAGGTCGGTGAAGAACAGGGATGACACAAGAGTGGATGCCACCTGCAGCTACAGAAATGAGTCTTCAGGCCCCACGTTCAACAGAGTGGCTGTTTACCATGAGCTGAGTAACATGACAAATGGCATCACCACACTGGGACCCTATAGACTTAATAACCAGAGCCTCTACATTAATGGTAAAGAGACCATTCCTGGCATTGGCCACACAAGGCATTATTCCTTGTATTGCAACAGACTATCTTAAAATGAAAATGAGGATTACATACTATCTCAGTCACTGAGTTGTGTATGAACATTTCACCTGATTTCTGTCCTACCAGTATGTATTTCTAAGCAATGACACGTATTTTCTTCCTTGCAGTCTTCACTATTATACTTCTGCTTAAGCAGTAGGTCATTTGTTTAATAAATTCACACAGGGATTGGTTCTGGTGATTCACTCTCCAGTCATCTGTTTCATTATCCCCTCTTCTCTTTCACTCTCTAAATGTATCGTGCTCTTACGTAATGATTCTCTTGCATTTCCTTTCCAGGTTACAATGAACCGCTTGAGAGACTGTGTAAGTGTTTTGTCACTTGTTCTTGTGAAAGCTATCAAAGGAGTGGTGCACTCAGAAAATGAGAGGGGAACAGATTCTTAAAATCTGCTAGCCTTGAAATTTGCTAATATTGGGAATCTCTTTAAGAGGGAAGTCGGCTTTTTGTACAGCAAAGCTTATAATCCTTCTCCCCTTTGATTGTAGCTCTGAGCTCAACCACTGAACCAAGCCCCACATTCAGGCATTTCACACTTAACTTCACCCTAACCAACCTCCCATACACTGCAGACCTGGAAATACCAAGTACTCGCAGGTTTATTTCTACAGAGAAAGTTATTAACTATTATGTAAGTCTGGCTCTGGTTTTGTCCAGTTTGTGTTATGCTGATGGCTTTTTCTATCTGCATTAAATTCAGGACAAACTTTTAAATTCTCTGTATTTTTTTTCTTCTCCTCCTGACAGCTTGACCCTCTTTTTAAGAGAAGCAGCATAAGCCCTGTCTACACAGGATGTAGAGTGATGAGATTCAGGTAAGAATCCTGAAAGGAAGGTAACTGCCACCATCTGCTTTTATACACTATAGACTGGTAGCTACAGCCTTGTAGCTTAAAAAGGTTAAAAATGTATCCTCTGCATGTGCCAATAAATAAACTTTTCCTTGCTGAAAAAGTATTTTTTTTCCTGTAGACATTGCTACCACAGTTCTTTAATATCTTCTCAAAAGAAGTAGGAGATTAACTGTGCTAATGGCTTTCCCACTCATAAATTACACAGAACATTCTGGAACATTCTGTAAACATCAGCAGTGTCCCTAACAATGCATCTCACATTTCTGCATAGGTCCATGAAAGACAGGGACAACACTGGCCTAGATGCAGTCTGCAGCTACAAAAATAACAGCAGAATTGCCACCTTTGATAGAGAAAAGGTTTATCAAGAGCTGAGCAACATGACAAAAGGTGTCACCAAACTAGGGCAATATAGCTTGGAGAAGAACAGCCTGTATGTCAATGGTAAGTATCTGTAAACAATGTCAAAATACCACTTTGGAGTCACATGAGGTGGAAAAGTGAGGAGCGAGCTTCATCACAGTTTGAGAGCTAATGTAATTCTGCTTTGAATTATTGGAATTCCACAGCTTTTGGCGTTATGACATAACCAAGCTCTTTTGAATGAATGCTACTCCTTAAATCACAAATTCCATGTGAGGAAGAACTTCTTTCCTGTGAGGGTGACAGAGCCCTGGCACAGCCTGCCCAGGCAGGTTGTGGAGTCTCCTTCCCTGGAGGTCTTCAAAACCCGCCTAGATACGACCGGGTGCCCCGTGCTCTGGGTGTCCCTGCCTGAGCAGGGGGTTGGACTAGATTATCTCTAGGAGTCTCTTCCAACCTCAACCATTCTGTAATTCTGTGATAATTTTCTTTTTATTTTTAATTCATATAAACTAAATAAGGATCTAGGCATATTGCATATGTGGTGTGTTTATAGAGTTGATGCAAGAAGTTACAGTTGATTTTCTTATTTAGGTTTCCACCTCACAAGTATCACTAGAAAGCCTGTCTTAACTGAAGCTCCAGCCAAAATGGGCTATAAATTCAGCTTTAGAATAATTAATGAAAATCTAACCAACCCAGACTCCCAGTCATCAGAATACAAAGCTGCAATGGAAAGCATCAGTAACAAGGTAAAGAGCTGCTGTTCAGAAATCACCATAACTGCACCAGATGATCTGCGTCTGAACACCAATATCTTCCATCTCAGAGTTCAGCATAAAAATTGGAGAGACTCCAGTGCAGGTCCTCCACAGGAGCAATCCACTAAAATATCAATCCACTAGTCACCTGCCCTAACTAAGGGGATTTGGGGGGTGTTTTCTTCTCTTAAAGCCATAATGAAGCTCTTTTCACATGAAACCGTTCCATGTTTTGAGTTCTGAGTCTGTTTTGCCCATGGAATATGGATCAAGATAACAGCTACTGACAGCAGACAACATATTTTAATAATGACAACTCAGATTAGGACCACCAAGTTGGAAGTCAGGTTCCATCACTGGAAGGCATATTCTGAAATACAAGTTATCTCCCATGAAAATCTGATTAGCAGAATTTTGTTGTTGTTGTTGTTCCAAAGTTAGAGGTCCTCTTGCTACCCTGAAGCATCTACCATAAGATCCAGAACTCTAAACTTAACATTTTTATTTCAGATGAACCAACTATATCATCAGAGCCATTTGCAGAATTACTTCCAGAATTGCACTGTCACAAAGCTAAGGTTTGTTATACAATTCGATTTTGAATTTTGTTTTCCAAGGACTATCCAAGTCATTCGCAGGCTTCCTGGAGTTAATGAGAGAGTTTGTTCAGACTTGGTGGGCCACGACTATGGTCACTGCTCCACAGCTGACAATGAATATTTTGGAGGATCTTAAATATACTTTAGAACTGAAGCTTTTATACAGTCTCAATCAGGATTTTTATATGGATTTAAGAGGATTTGGGCTGTCTATCAGGCCTCTTCAAATATCCCTGTAATTACTGATTGCTATGAGAAGACAGAGGAGATCTGATCAATATGTATAAGTACCTCAGGGGATAATGTGGAGGGGAGGAGACCAAACTCTTCTCTGCGGTGGCCAGTGACAAGACAAGGGGGCAAGACAAGGGGTACAAGTTGAAACACTGAAGTTCCATCTCCTTATGAGAAGAACTTTCTTCCTGTGAGGATGCCAGAGCCCTGTGGCACAGGCTGCCCAGGGGGGTTGTGGAGTCTCCTTCTCTGAAGGTCTTCAAAACCCTCCTAGATGCCACCCTGTGCCACAGGCTCTGTGCAGGGGGGCCTTGCTCTGTGCTTGAGCAGGGGGACTGGACTAGATGATCTCTAGAGGTCCCTTCCAGCCTTAACCATTCTGTGATTCTGAGTGTGATGAGCAATCTTATCACAAGACAGAACACTGAATGGTGACCATGCAAACTCCCCCCCCCCTTCCTCTTCCAGATGGAGACTTTGCAGGGTTTTAAAGGGACTCTGGGCATATCTCATGTCCTTTTCTAGCTGGAAAAGGATTTGGACAAGAAACCTTAACAGCAAGGGTCATTCATTCATTCTGATCTATACATGCAGCATACTTATTACCTGAGTTTGCACAGAGAAGAGGTAGTGGTACTCCATTTGCCATACGTGGTCAAAAGAAAAGCCCTACTCTATTCCACATCTCCCAGTAGCACCACATTAGATTAAAATATTCCCTAACACATAGAATATCAGAAACTCTTAGGAAACTGTCCCACATGAAGAGGCATCCTGATCACCAGATAGTCCAATCATTTTAGAGCCTCTGTTTCTCTCTCCACAGGATTGGATCCATAGTGGTTGACTGCAGGTGCTTCTTCCATCCAGATCCCAGCATCAACAGGGCTGCGGTTGAAAGGGCTTTTCAGAATGGGACCTCACATGAAACTGGGCTATGGCTGGGAAGCAGTTACCAGCTGGAAGGATTCTCAGTAGACAGTATGTAAAGCTCATAGAAGATCATAAATGCCTAGTTTCTACCCAGTTTAACACATTTTGTCATGATATACTCAGAATTACCAACTTTCTGGTCTGTGGCACCATGGGTAGGGGCACTATGTTCCCCCAAACTGAATCACTGAACTTAAGCCAGCATCGAGCCAGCCCTTTGCCAAATTAAGACTGGGCTAGTCCAGTCCTTGAGTTCACAGTGGTTTCAGGGCTTATTATATACTAAGGCAAGGAAGCAATAACTACTTGTTACAATTTCTAAGTCTGTTCATTGCTCAGTTTGCTTTTTTTTTTTCCCCTCTCAGATGTACATATTCCCAAAGAAAGCACTGGTCTGATAAATTGTTGAAGATCATAGCTTTCAAAGGAGTATATTGGAGTTATGGTATCAGATTCCAGTGCAGCCTACATTCTGTTTATCTCCTAAGACTTTGGATTTTTCGTAACCTAAAGTTCACCAAGCAACACTGATTTGCGTAATAGGCTCTGTTTCTCTTTGCTAGAATTTATATTCCACTTTTCCCCTTTATCTCCAGACTTAGAACTAGCAATCGAGACAGGCACTCAGAGAGCTCCCCTGCAATCTGAGGAAAGAAACTTCAGATTAAACTTCATCATCACCAACCTTCGCTACTCTCCAGAACTGCAGAACTCCAAATCGCTGATGTTCCAAGTGAACAAGGACAAGATTGAAAAGGAGGTAAAAACAAAGAGCAATATCTTGGACTGATTTCTCTGTCAAGCTTAAAGATATATCAAATTAACTCATTTTGCTTAATTTTGTTTGATCCCATCAGCTTGACGTATTCAGAACTGGCAGCCTGAAGGACTATTTCATTGGTTGTACTGTTGAGACCTTTGGGTATGTCCTGCCTCATAGGCAGTTTTTCCTCTAGTCCCAACAGAATATTTAGTAGAAATGACACTATGAACTGCAGCATGGTGTTTATGCCTCAGTGACATCTTTGTTTAATGACACATAGGAGGTACCTTCTCTCACTCTCAGTTTTACCTTTACCACAGAATGTTTATGTCCAAATAGGAGCTGCTAGTGTGTTTTTTTTTTTTTTTCACTACACAGGTAAAACTATTTTCAAGTATAAAAAATTCAAGCAAACAAGTAAAACAAGTAATCTCATTATCTCACTTATTTAAACAAGCTATGACTTAAATAGATATGGAAAACAATCCCAAGAACTAATCAGCTTAACAAAGCTAAACGACGTATATCTCAGAAATGCCATGCCTAGGATTAATTTAGTTGGTGTATTTCACAATGGCACACACCAGTGCCTTTCATCTAACATAAACTAAAAATTGATCCTATGCTAAAAACACATTCCTCACACATCTGCATGACTGATGCCAGTGCCAAATACCTCGCCCAGTGCTTCTCCATTGTAGCTGCTCCTCAGTTCTGCATTAGATATCTCTTGTGCATTGACGACAGCTTTGGTCTTCATCCTCCAGGCCTGTCCTTGGGAAGGCTTACACAAGTGTTGCTTCTGTCTGTAAATTCACACTGGACACCTCCTCAAGGACTTTAGAAAAGGAAGTTGTATATGAGGAACTGACACGCTTGACACAAGGGTTCACCAAGCTGGGCTCCAGCTACCAGTTGGAAGAACACAGTTTGGCTGTTGATGGTGAGTACTGCTGAGATGACTTGAACATTTGTCAGCTTTGCGTTAATCACTTCAAGTGCCCTATTCCCCACCTCTCACACTTCTTGTTTTCCAGGTTACTCTCCACTCGAAACAATTGGGCAGGAAAGATATGGTAAGTACTTTCAGACGAGCATTCACCCTAAAGCTGATGAATACTTGTTGAGCTACACTAAGTTAGTTCTACATACCTTGAAAAAGTGACTGGGCCAGTGGCAAGAGCACAAGGGTTTAGGATTTCTAGGAGGCGGGCAGCAAACAGCAGGGAACAGAGCCAGTGAGTCTGGGGAAAACCTAACTGAAGGGCAGGCAAAACCACGGGGATGTGGAATGCTCTAGCACCAATAAGCTTTGATTACTTCAGTATTTACAAAAGCAAAGAAACAAAAAGAAAACAAAGAGTGCTGTGAATAACACTAAGTATAGCCACAACCCCCAGAACTAACATTCAACAAAAACAAACCACCTGTACTTGTAAGCATTGCTTTTCCAGGTACCAGGAACACCCTCACAAGTAATTACAGCTGATTTCCCAAAACCCTTAGCCCTGCCCTCTCCCTGACAGAGGCTTAGCCAGGAGCTGTGGCTCTTGTACCCTCTGAATAGCCCCAAATCCATCCACGGACTCTAATGCTAACTGTAGTGGTACTTAGTGTATCCTTGAACTCTCACTCTGTTCCACCAAAGCTTCTGCTCATCCCTTGCATCTTCACACTGCTGGGACACATTTGCCAGGAAGGTCAGATGCTTTTCGAGCAATTTCACCTCGTCTGCCCGATATTTAGTAGTTTTGTACTTTGACAGGCGAGAACTCTCAATGTCTCATGCAAAAGAACAAGTCAAAAAACTGATGTACCTCTGTTTTGCAGAGCTTTCATTCTGGGCAATTATCCTCATCTGTGTCTTTGCACTGATTGGATTCATCCTCCTCCTCCTGATATGCTTCCTGGTAAGTGACTTCTTTGTTGTCGCACCTCTTGCTTTTGGCTACTGCAGTGTCCAGCAATCCAAGTAGTTGCAGAAAAAAATATTCAGACACACATTCTACAAGGAATCCAGGTGGGAGCAGTACATCACATGCACTGTAACATCAAATGCTGTGCCAGATTCTCTTTCAGTTACTGCCACCTTTTTCAAGGTCTTGTGGAGAGGAGCAAGGGAAGAACATTTAGCCCACTAAGCAGATTTCTAAGGAAGGAAAGAGTGAGATCCAGTCCTTTAGAGAGGGGGAAACATGAAACTGAGATAACACATACCACAAGATTACAAACAGGTTGAGTTAGATGACTTATAAAATCTCTCTTAAGCCTTTTTATCCTCCACAAATCTCCACAGGATGACAAGGTTACAGATAACAATTTAGAGTAAATATACTTAATAACCTACAGGTGACAGGAATTGTACTCTGAATTGTGTTCAGGGCTGATAACATAGAGGCTGTAGCAACGCTGCAGGACTAGACTCCAGCTGTATCCCTTTGAGGGCAGAACGGATCTTCTGTCTGGTGAATATTTAATGGGGGGAGAAATATTTTTTTAGCGTTGTTTCAGCAGTAGTTGAGTTTATGTCACACCATGTAGAACAGAATGGCTAAATACATAGAGAATATAGACTGTTATCCTTGAATGTTTAAGAGGAAAGAAATACAGTCAGTAAGATTTAGAAATCAGAAACAAAAACACACAAGAAATTCAAATCAAATCAGTGACTGTGCTATTGAGTGCCTATGCAGCCTTAGGCAAGTGCCTTCTTTAACACCAAGTTATCTCATCTGTCAAATGGGAGAGCCTCTCTCTACCTAGTGAAGTGTTTTGGGACCTTCTCATGAAAGAGAAAATATAGACTTGCTGTTCAGCAATTAATACTGTTCATTTTCCACCAGATTGTCTTTTGCCTAAGAAGAAAGTCAAACCTGTACCAGGTTCAACAGAGTATGTATGGGATGTATTTCCCACATCTGAACATGAGAAAAGTACATTGACGTAACAGCTGAAACCTGCTTTCACAGACCAGTTCCATCCACAGATGAAGGAAAGATGTTTACAACTACTAGGAAAATGTTTCTTCTTTAATAAATTATAGTTAGCCTTTTCTCTTACCTTGATGCAAGCTTGCACTATTATTAAAAAACTACTTTCATAGTACGGGAAACTGCCAGCACAGTTGTGGGGGAAGATTTTTTTTAAGCACTGAAGTATTTTTATATTCATTTTCTATGGTTGCATATAATTAAGACTGCCAGGAATTGCAGTTTGCAGGGCTGTTCAGTGTTAATGTTTTCTGGAAAGGGCTTAATTACACTAGTTTACAGATTTTCAGGATTGACTACTGTAAATTAAAAACAGGACAGATCACTTCTTAGACTTTATCCTTTTACCCTGGTTTATCTAAAGTATCTATTTTAAGTTGATGAAAATAATTTATATTTAATATGCCAAGATTATTTAAAGTGTGATATAGCACCTTGTGGTCTTTTAAGATTGATACTTATTTCAGTTGAATAAATACCAGATTTATTGCTGTGAAACCAATTCCTTTTGTTTTTCTATATCAATGCTTCATCCCAAGTGAGGAAATATTTCTGCTCTATGATAATCTCTGGAGCTTCACCTCCTCAGTGGTCTCATTCAGAGTTCCCCATCATGATGTAGGGCCCAGTGTTTCTTTGGAGCTCATGACTTTTCACGATCCCCCTGAATCCTACTGCACTGGACAGATACGTCCAAGAACTCAGCACCTATAGCATGTCCTGATCTTCTGCAGAGCATCTGGATGCTCTTGCAGAAAAGCTATGTTCAAGTCACAGAGAAAGTGCTGGATCTCAAGCCTCTGGTGCCATATGTCCCAAAGACAACCAAAGTCTTTGGGACATGTGGCACAAGAGCCACACTGGAACAAACAATTTGGGACAAACCAAAGTGCCAGTATTTTCCAGGAAAAACTCACAGTAAGGCTCACATCAATTCCTCCCCATAGAAACAGCTGGGCATCTTAATGCAATATTTCAGCTCAGGAGATCTCTCAGGAGAGCTGAGATCAGCTCAGGTGCAATCGTTTGACAGTATAATTAGATAAACTCTCCACTCTGCTGAAAGGGAATACACAGAACTAATGAAGCCACAGTTAGTGGTTATCTTCCACTGTAGGCCGTGTTTCCATGCAAACTTCTTTTTTTCCTTTCAAAGCAAGACTGATCACCAGGTTGGTTGCATTCATCTCCCAGATCAGATTCCTAAGCACAGACAAGAATTTCCCATCTGGAATATTAGAAACCTGTTTGCTTGACCAAAGATTTACAAACAGCTAATATTATGTCTGTAATATTAGCTTTAAAAGCTTTCACAGCTGCTTGCAAAAGACCTTTGCAGGTTTTTATACCGCAGAATATGCCCAAGCTACAATGCCAATATGGGTGCAGGAATGCTCTGAATATACAGAAATTCTTTAAATTTCCAGGCTCAGCCTTTGAGGAGAGGCCCTCCAACAACCCAGTGAATGAGCTGGGTAGGGGGTTCTAGTGGTTAGAGCATCAGCTCCTTTCCACAAGGAGACCTCCAAGGAGCCTCCTGAAGTCTACCCCAAATCTTCAATTGGCTGTATTGCTGAAATGCTAAGAAAAGAGTACCAAAAAGCTCAGAGAAGGGGTTTTAGGAGCTTAGAAATCGGCACTCGCAGGTTAAAAAAAAATAATAATAATAATTGCAGGAAAAAAATGGCCAGACTGTGTCACACTGCAGAGACGCATGGTATGTGCAGACCTCCTTCTGGGGCTGCCTTCCAAGAGGAAAGAGCGGTCACATACCACTGCACCTCCTGTCATCGCTGTGCTGTGTCGCAACGTGCCTCACGTTATGGTTGGACACAGGCCTGTGTTTGCCACGGTGCTGCTGTTGCCCAGCAAGGCCCCGCTGAGCTCGCCTGGGGTGGGACGGGACACAAGGGGCTGAATGACAAGAGCCGCTTGGCAGTGACGCAAGTGCCTGAGCCACCAGCTCAGTGACCTGGCCCCAGGCAGAGATTTAATCCATCTCTTGCTGTAGCCAAATGGCTTCTCTTGCTCCAGAGATTAGCACACCCAGGGAGGCAGATATTTGGCTGGGATCAGGGCCAAAGGCAGCAGTGAGGGAAGGGCAGACCCAGATGGTGGCCCAGTTCATGGACCTTTCTGTGAAACCCTGACAGCAACCCCAAACAGCATCCCATCCTACCACCCTTTCTTTCCTCCCAGTGGGATCTTAGGTCTCCTGCTCTTTCCTCTCTATCCTGACATTGCAGATGCACCAGGGCTATTCCTCTCTGTTTATCTCCCCTTATATTTGTCCTGGTGTGTCTTGGCCCAACCTGCCCACTGCTGCCAATGAACAAACCAACTGTGGATGGTTCCTAGGCAATTCTCTCAACACAGGGCCAGCTGCACTTCCCTAACACGGCCCTGATATTTGATACCTAATAAGAGACAGTTCATCAATCTCCTTTTCAGGCCTTAATATTTCATACTGACATCTGGAAACAAGCTTGAACAGCAGCGATAAAAGATAGAGATGCTTCTCATCCCTCTTCCTAGCAAATTCTCTGCACCTTGGGTCTCACAGGTAGTAAAGTGCTCCAGCTGCCTAAGAATGTCATCAAGAAGGCCTTTGTTGGCATGGTAATTCCTCCCCTATGCAGTAAGAGCACCAGTTAGCACACCCATCCAGGCACTTGTGTATAACCTCAGTTATTAACACCAACTCTAGCATTGTTTTGCAACCAGCAACTTCCGTTCCACTGAAGATCTTTCCTTCAAGGGTGGAAGTGGAGCAGGATCCACTGCTGGTGCACAGATGCCAGACAAGGAAGCAGCTGTGGCTGAGGAGAGCGTGCTGGGCTTTATAGCCCTGTAGCTGGGGACAGATCAGCCCATCCTTTCTACTTACCTCTCAGTTTTGTCACTAGCTATGCTTCAGCAGTCTTTTCTTTGTACTTCAAGGGAGACACCTCAGCAGTCAGCCAGCCAAAGCCATGCTGAGCCTAAGACAGAATTTAATTAGCAAAATGGTTGCCTTATCCAGAAGGGAAACCTTGCCTAGTTGGCACCACAGTTGTTGAAAGATGTTTCCTTCCCCATCCGACTGGAAGAAGCAAATCTGAACTTCTTGTAGAGCCACTGCTGGGGTCTTACACCTCCCCTTCCTCTGCCCATCCGCTCTTCTCCAAGAGGATCACCAGCATTAGGTGACAGCAGGAGAGAGAATCTGACAATCTGAAATACATTTTGTCCAATATACCAGCAAAGAAGGAGCATTTAGCAACTCCAACTTCCCCCTCCACATTCATAAAGGAACATTTTTTTCAGCCCTTGTATTTGCAGCACAGCTCAGGACCCAGCACACCACTGCAGCCTCTTCTCCGAGCTCTGGTGTGAGCCACATCCAACCACAGCTCTGGCTGGGCCCTGCAAAGAGCCAGACATCAGCTGTGGAGCTTAAAGAGACCCTGCAGCATCCAGACACCTGCACAAGAGCTTCTATGAATGCTTGCATTCAATCACTGCAGTTCAGTGAGTCCCTTCCAAGAGCAGCAGTAAATAACCCCAAGCTAAAGGCACAGCCAGCACGGTGCCAGCTAGCCTTTCACAGGCAGCCAAAAAGGTGTTAGGAGATTCTTGGAGGTGTCAATCCAGGCAATTTTTGCAAGGCATTAGGCAGGATTTTATAAAAGTATTTCAGGAAATTAAGAGCTATCATTTTCCTTGGGTGTGCTCCAGCACAGCCACAAACAAGCTGCTCCAGCATCAGGTGAGGATTTCCCCCAGGTGCTGACTTGCAGCCAAACAACATAAGCGTGGACCCAAAAAAAACCCAAAAAACAAACAAACAAAAAACACCAAGGAACCACCCCAGGTAACATGCACTGGTGCAAACTAGAGCTAGGGAACACTTCAGCTTTCTACCTCACCCCAATGAAAAAACATTTGATGCCATGAAGTATTATATTGTGAATTTATTAAACTTAACTGGGAGATGGAGGGGCCTCCCTGTCACAAGTCGCGGCACAGGTCACACTAACCCGTGTCCTCCAGCTGCTCCAGCTCTGGACTCCCACCCAGCCAAGGGACCAGGAAATGTCCCTAAATGGACATTTTGGGGCAGCGCCAAGATCAGAGCTTAGCCTGTCATGATGCAAATGCTGCCCAGCCTTCCCTGTTCCCCACCAACATGATTATGTCCACAGCAACACTCCTGCATCTATCACTAATCTGATATTTAGACTGTGACAGATTAAATAGCAGGAGCCACAATGAACAAAGACATGAGCAGGCTGCAGGGTGGCACCTTGCCTGGGTTTGGACTCTCCAAATAACTTTTCTGAACGTTTCTGACCTCGGGCAAGCCCATCCCTTCCTCTCCTGTACTCAAGCATTACTGGGACGTCACCAGCTTGCCCAGAGCCTCCTGAGAAACACCCATCCCAAGAGCCAGGAGAGTCTTGTGAAGGAGAGGTAGGATCACCAGATCTTATTTAGAAAGGAGAACGGCAGTTTTGGATATTTGCCCCGTGTCTCCTCACAGCAATACAAACCTGTGAGTTTCGGGGCAGACTAGTCCTTAGCGTTAGGCTCCGGAGCTGCCCCCACACTTTCAGCCATCAAGAACAATGCTAAAACCCTGCTCCTTTCAATTGTTCAGGAACAATTCAAAACCCCTTTCAATCCTGCTACTTGGGCCTGAAATGCTCCTCCGGCTTGAAATGCTCCTCAAACAAGGAGAGGCAAGGGGCCCTCCAGAGGGGACTGTTAACTAGGTTCCTTTTGCTTTGAGGTAGGTCAATTCAAATTCCAGTGGCTCCCTGTTCTCATAGGTTGTTTCAAATCCTAACAAAGCACAAAATTAGCTGGACCAGGAAAGAGAAAAAGAGATCTAAGATCCCAGAGGAGAGACAGGACGAGCTTGATAGCCCCATGAGAGCACGGCTCCCACCAGCTTGGCCCCTAGTGATGTCACAGTTCCTGCTACGACAACGGTGGCCATTGAACACGAGCTCTGAGCCTGCGGCGCAGAAAGCCACCACTGACCAATCTCAGTGCCACGTTGCCACCTGTCCTTGCAGACGGCCCGAAGATCTGGCCACCTTGGTCAGAGCCCACATGGGATCGGCGCTTGCAGACTTGGCAAGCCAAAGAGCGGGCAGTCAAGGGGCAAGGAGTCGTTCCCCACTGTCTGCACCGCACAGACTGCACGAGAGTCACCCACACCCAGGATCTGCAAGAGAGACACCCTCAGACACAGACCCAGACAGCTCCTCATCAAGCGAGCACTCCTTTGATATGAGAACTGGAGCCATTGTGATAGATATTGGCACAGGGAGCTTTAAAGCTGGGTTTGCTGGACAACAGAAACCTACATCTGAAATCGGCACCTTGGTGGCCTGTCCTTCAAGGTCATCCCTGGAGTCCACAAGGATTCAGCCTCAGACCTTCTTTGGGGAGGAAGCCTTCCTTCATGATGATGTTGACACTATCGGACTTACGCAGAGCGGCATCATCATCAATTGGGAGGCAGCCGAAATCCTGTGGCAGCACATGTTCGACCATGACCTCATGGTCGCTCCTGAGGAGCACGCTTTACTCATCACAGATCCCCCGCTAAACCCCAGCACCAACCGAGAGAAGCTGGTGGAGATGGCGTTTGAGTCGCTGCACTCCCCCGGAATTTACATTGCCTCTCAGTCCGTCCTCTCTGTGTACGCCCACGGTCAAACCAGCGGTTTGGTCGTGGATGCAGGCTATGCCGTGACCCACACGGTACCTGTTGATGAGGGTTACAGCCTATCGCATGCAGTTGAGAGGATGGATATCGCCGGATCCCACATGACACATTACTTGATGAAGCTTCTCAGGGACTCCGGGTACATGCTCAGTGAAGCCATGACCCAAGTCATAGAAGACATCAAGCACAAATGCTGCTATGTTGCTTCTGACTTTGAAAATGAATGCTACCTCCCTGAGGCCTTCTACACAGTGGATTTCCCCTTGCCAGATGGTCAGACCATCAGTCTTGGGAAAGAGAGGTTCCAGTGTCCGGAAGTGCTCTTCAACCCCCCTCAGGCACGTGGGATTCCTTACGTGGGAATTCACGAGATGACCCAGAGAAGTCTAAACAAACTACCAGAAGCAGTCAGGGAAAAAATGTGCCAAAACATCCTCCTGTGTGGAGGGTCCTCTCTCTTCGAGGGACTAGAGAAGAGGTTTTCTGGTGAACTCCTCCAAAAAATGCCCTCTCAGGCCAAAATCAGAGTATCTGCCATCCCCCTGAGGAGATATTCTGCCTGGATGGGGGGGTCTATCCTCGCCTCCCTGAAAAACTTCCAGTCATTCTGGATCCGAAAGGAGGATTACAGTGAACATGGACCATACATTGTCCATCAGAAATGCTACTAAAGGAGAAGCGTCGCATCAGATTTAAAGCCACCAGGAAAACAAACACCTTTCTCTGCCTTGGTGAGAAATGCAAATGTATCACATCATGATTTACTTGCAGCTGCAGACTGGCCATTGGAAAGTAATAATAAATGGTTTTCCTGTATTGAATGTTGTCTTTCCCGGGTCCTACACCATGCAGAGCTGAGGGTTATTTCAATAGAAGCCCCAAACGTGAAGCCAGTAAGAGGAGCCTGCTTGCTCAGAAGGGTTTTATTTATGGGGAGAAAGCTGTGATCCATGCTGAGCACCTTGGCGGGGGGGATCCTATGCAGGAATCCTGCTTGCGGGAGACCCGCTGTGCAGGCCTGCACAGACCAGCCAGCCCAGAGGATCGCACAGAGCCATCGTCTCCCCGCTTCCACCTCCAGGGCCACCACAGTAGCTTCAAGGTCACACTTCTACCTCCCTGAGGCCACTCAGGAGCTTGCTGAGACACAGGAATAGAGGCGGGCCTCACAAACACCACCCCAACCTGGAGATGAATTTCACAAAGCCTGGTTTGCAGAGCAACCATTCCCTCAGATACAGCCCAGGACTTCCAAAAGACACTTCTACTGCCCAAGCAGGACCCTGCAGAGCTCTCCCATTGGGTATCCAGCCCTTGCAAGCACCTCTGAATGCACAAGAGTTGGATATAAATGGCCATATTCCTGCAAAAACAAGCACTCAGAGCATGCAGCAAGCCAATTTGGAGTCAATCAAGAGGCAAGAGTTGCAAAATCTCTCCCAGATATTCTTCATCCCTGGGATTGCAGCAGGGGTTGAAGGTCCACAGGGACAAGTGTTCCCACTCTCTCTTAGATGCCTTGGACCTGCACCCTCATCTCTTCCTCAAACTGAGTCCTTTCATTTTCCATACCCACCCCACTTTCATTTTCTCATCGTTCTTTATTGTTCCCCCAGAAACCAACCATGCCAAATTTACCAAACTGTTGTGAAATTCCCCCACCCTGGCAGTAGTTTTTCATCTGGTGAGACTTTTCTTGCTCCCTGCAAGACTCGTTGCCATCTCTTCATCATCAGCTGCATCTGGGGGCTCTTGGGGTCCACAGAGCCACATGAGTGAAAAGGAGGAGGGGGAGAGCAGAGCTGCAGGGATGCTGCAAGGAGCTTTCCCACGGCTCACCAATGAGCTCTGGGCTCTCACATTGAGTCAAGCCAACTGCTTAATTTCCCCTGAAACTTTCTGCAGAAACATGTTCTTATCTTGCTAGAAACCCAGGCCACAACGGTGGGCTGGGAGGAACCAGCAGCTCCTAGGAAAGGAGGGGACGGGTGGTGCAGCAAGAGCAGCAGTGTGGACAGCCCAAATTTGCAACCTGAGATCCAAAAGGGGAAGCACTGGGGTGACCTGGTGGCATCAGACAAAAATATAAGCTGAAAGGAGGGTTTGAACTTTAATTCTTAGGTCCACTGCCATGGTCCACTAAACATCAATCACATCTGCACCATTTTTAGCCCAGCAAATATGTCCTCCTCATCCTCTTTCTACTTGGAGCCAGAGCAGCCGCGTTTCCCCTGCCCATCACCCCTGGGAAACACTCAGCTTTGCGGGGGGACAACCCCAAAACCTCCACTCCAAAAGCATCAGTGTCTCCGGGCTGCTGCTCTGCTGGGAGCAGCCTCCAGCTCTGCTGGTCACCTCCCAACTCACTTTTTGATGAGATAAAATAAATATGCATTAAGTGAGGTGTCCTCTTGCATGTTGGGGCTACAGAGATCGAGATGACCCTACATGCTTGGTGTTAACGTGTTGCATTTTCTCCATCCCAGCAGGCCTCCGATTCCAAAGAGAAACTGCTCAGGGAAAAGAGGGAGCAGGCAAAAGGTCTGGGAGGGCTTTGAGGTTAGTCAAAAAGATGCTGCTGTGACTTAGTGGAAAGTAATTTTCTGCCATAATCTTGTTCCGATGCCCGGCCCGAGAGCTTGCACGGTGGGAGCGCGACGCGCGTGGGAGGTGCGAGCCCCGACCAACACACCGGGGAGGCAGCGGCCGCCGAGAGCCCAGAGTGACGCTCGTCGAGCTCAACCCTGCGGGCAGCAAGTGAGCAAGTGAAGGGGAAAAAGAAAAGAGGAAAAAAAGGAGACAAACAGCTTTAAAAAAAAACAAAAGTAAACCAGACAGACCCCCCAAACGATGGGGCTGTGAGACGGCTTTGCCAGCAAATGCTGTTTGAAAGCAAAGTGAGTGGGAGTGAGTTGTATTACTCCCCACTCGTGAGGCAGCAATGCCACCTTTAAAAAGATGCTGCTGGCCTCTTGTGATAAGAACTATCACAGCTCTGGCTGCTCGACTCAGAATCAAATTGCTATTAAAGAAAAAAAGAACAAGAAGAAGATTTTTCTTTTCAAATTTCGACTTCTGAGTTTGCCATCACTTTTTCCAAGGTGTTAAGGACAGAAATAGCCTTTTGCAGGGGCAAGCAAAGCTCCAACGCGTTTGGGATCACCAACTGCTGCTTTGAATGCCAGAGACATGGAGAAAATCCAACTTGCTGCTATCCCCAGAAGTCCCCAAAGTGTCCAACTCGCTGCAAGTGTGCTCACATCACCGAGGAGCAGCTCAGAAAGGGTTTTACCTAACTAAAGATTTGTATTTTGACCCAAAATCACAGCTGAGGTCCAGCTTTCCTAACTATGACTTAACAGCAAGTTTCAGCTAGGCAAGGCTACAGCTTGGATTTCTCCCAATGACAGTAAAACTAAGGGGCAAATTTTGACATTTCTTCTCCATTTGCTGGCCCAAATGTCCTGGGGCACCGGCTCCCTCCTCCCAGCAGCCAAATAAATGATGTCTTTTCAAATAAATCCCAGGTTTGTCCCAGTTTGGGAGTCAGGAATCCCTGCTGGCACTGGTAGGGGCTCGGGAGCTTGGGAAGCAGTGGTTTTTTCCTGCTGTTTATGTCATGATCATAAGCAATCATCTCATAACAGATATGTGGCCACTTGGGATGCTTGTATATAGATTGAAGATGCTTATATATATGTAGCTAAATTAAAATATGTATCTTACACGCATTTCCAGACTAATATCTACATTGACATCAGTCAGAAAAATGTTGAAGCAAGAGCAAGAAAACCTGGCCTCTATTAAAACTACCTTCCTGGACTCTATCAAAATTACCTTATTTTGTCTAAGAGTTTGAGGCTGCCCTTAGTGTAGGCTGCCTGAGCCACATTTGCTCTTTCCCACTCTTTTTTGGATCCTTCTTATTGCTTTTTTATTCCAACTTCTTAATAAGTACCACAGAAAAACAAGGCCTTGCTGTGATAACATCACATTAATTCTTACTTATTTCTGTCCTGTGAGACATTAGACATTCTCAGTCAACCATTAGCATAATTTGATGGGCAGCACTAAGGAGGCTGCATCCCCACGTGTGGTGCAAGAAACCGCCTGGGTAATTCAGTGCCACTCCGAGTTGCTCCAAGCTATCATCTCTTTTCCAAACCTCTCTCCAAAGCACCATCATTAACCCTGATAACTGCATTAATGCAGTGAGGCTGGATAGGGGAGAAGCCCCCAGCTTTGTGTCTGTGCTGGTGCACACTGACTGCAGTGGAGATTAGCAGAGATGCAGATATATATTTTATTCACCCCTGGAAACTAGGGAGTAAGTGAAAAAAACATCGTAAGCAGCTCCCGGCTGGTAAGAGGTGGCTGGTGATGCTCTGCCACACTGATGGTTGTCCCTAATGTTGGGCCATTCCTGGGGCCCTGAGGGGACACAGTGCTGTCCTGCTTCCTCACAGCCAGCATGACTCGAAACAAGCACAGAAAGATGCAAACGTGAGGAGGAGTCTGAAGCCTTTTCTCGCGTGCACAGCACCCTCCCAGCGGCGCAGTGATGTGGTTAACACGAGGGTTTCCTCGCTTGCGGGGGGACATGCCAATCCTCGGGACACGCAACCGCCTCACTCCTGCTGCTTTCGCTACACAGCCAGGCTGCATCTGCACCAGGGGAAATCTCCTCCTGGCTTCGTCTCCGCAGCCCGTCTGGCACTTTCATCTCATCTACCAGAGAAAAAGGCAGCGCTGCCGACCTGCGGTGAAGCCAAAGACACGAGCTTTCCCCGTGCAATGTGGCCCCACAAGCCTGCTGGGCACCAGGTTTGCCCGCCAGTGTCATTCCCTCCATACCTCAGGGCCATGTAAGTCCCCGTGGCCACAAAGCTCAGGACCTGTGCAAAGAGCAGGGTTAAAACCCAGGAACACAAAGAGAGATGAGATGATTTCTAGGCTTGGCCCCCCAAATTCTGCTCAGGGTTTTTTTTTTACCCAGCAAAAGGACATTTCAGGGGGTGCTGTGCATGTTTGCATCACCCTTGTACTTGACTTCATTAATGTAAACATCAGTAAGCCGAGTTTTCCATCAGAAAAAGTGACTCCACTTCAACACCGTTGTAGGGAAAAGCTCAGCCGAGAGCAGGAGCAGGAGGATGAGGTGAGTCCAGTGCAGGAGACACAGCTTCATCCTTGCTCTGCCGCTGACTCCCTGCACAGAGGGTAGGAGAAAGCGCTGCAGTCTCCCACACTGGAGCCAGTAACACAGCTCCTCCTCACCGGGGCGCTGGGATGCTGCTGACAGCAGCAGTTTGGACACCCTGGCACAGAGCTGTAACAGGTGGAAGGAGGAACTGGATGTGGAAAAGGCTCACTGGGAGACGGAGGTTGGGTTTGGGTCCAGGCTTTGGTTCGCTGCTCTTCTATCCTAAGACAGCCCTAAGACATCACAAATGCAAAAGTGACTTTTAGCCTTCTAAGAAGACATCAGAGGAGCTTTTCTTCAGTCTGAAGTGTTGCTGCCTGTTTGTTTGTTTAAGGTCTGGGAGTTGTCAAACCTCCCCAGCAGCCTCTGATGTTTCAGCACACGGATCAAGAACGAGAAAAGCTACGTGTGAGAAATGAAAGATTGTGGTCTTCAGAAGAACTGATATGAGAAAGCCATCTTAAAGAT